TGTCATTGCTACTGACAATCTCTTTATTGCTGCCTGTCCCCAGTTCCTGAAGGGGTTTTTCATTGCCCACCAGCATGAGGGTTTGTCTTCCTCATTTCTTTAACCCACTCCTACACCGAGCTTTTGCTTATTCACCAGTTATGACTGAATCCCTTTTATTTCTTTTCTTCCTCTAATAGACTCTCATCCATAAAGGTTCCTCTTCTGCTTCTAAATTCCCACCTGGAAAGGGGGGGGGTGGGTGGGTATGGAGAAGGTGGAGGGCCAAGCATGTCCCCACCCCACACAGACCGGGTGTGCTGGGAGCTGGTGGGCAATGAATGAACATGAGCCCTGTGCCTTGGGAGGAAGAGGCCTGGCTTCCAGCTCCAGCTCCGCCCTCACCTTTGGGACCTTGAGCCCTGAGTGCTTAGTCATGTCTGACTCTTTGTGACCCCGTGGACTGTAGCTCACCAGGCTCCTCTTATGGGATCTTGAGCAAATTCCTTTCTTTCTCTGGGGCTCTGTTTTCCCTTCTCCAAAAAGAGGCAGTTGGATTAGATGGTCAATATTAGTATTTTTGATTTTATAAGTGGTCAGATATTTGTTACAACAGCCCACCTGGGGCGCAGCAGAGATGGACACATTTTTCTTTTTAAATTTTGCTAGTTTATTTTTGGCTATGCTGGGTCTTCATTGTTTTGAGGGCTTTTTTCTAGTTTCGGCGAGCAGGGGCTACTGTCAAATGATTGTGAGTTTCGTATTGCAGTGGCTTCTCCTGTTGCGAAGCACTGGCTCTAGGGCTTGCAGGCTTCAGTAGCTGCAGCTTCCAGGCTCCAGAGCACAGGCTCAATAGTTGTGGCAGACTGGCTTAGATGCTCTTCGACATGTGGGAACTTCCCTGATAAGGGATCAAACCTGTGTCACCTGTATTGGCAGGTAGATTCTTTACCACTAAGCCACCAGGGAAGCCCTTCTTTTCTTTTTTTAAAGTTTTTTATTTTATTTTTAAAATTTAATTTAATTTATATTATTTTAAAATATTTTGGCTGCCCCCTGACCAGGGATTGAACCCAGGTCCCAGAAGTGAAAATGCCGAGTCCTAATCACTGGGCCACCAGGGAATTCCTAAGTGGCACGTTTACTCCCAGTGCTGTCGCAAAGGTGGAAAGGTGTCATCACTCTTGTCTTGGATCTTTCTCATTCTGGCCTGTGGTTCCCTATATAAAAAATAATTTTTTTTTTCTATCGCTTTTACAATAAAATCACTTAGTGTTCCTTTCAAAAACATTAGAAAATACAGATCAGCAAAAGAACAATGGATACAGATCAGCGTGCATGTGTGCTCAGTTGTGACTCTTTGTGACCTCAGGGACTGCAACCCACCAGCTTCCTCTGTCCATGGGATTTTCCAAGCAGGAATACTGGAGTGGGTTGCCATTTCCTCCTCCAGGGTTTCTTCCCCACCCAGGAATCAAACCCCTGTCTCCTGCATCTCCTGCACTGCAGGTGGAGGTGGATTCTTTACCACTGAGCTATTGGGGAAGCCTAGTACCCCCCGCTTTCCCCCCCCAGTATTTATTTATTTGGCTGCACCAGGTCTTATTTGCAGCATGCAGACTGTTAGTTGTGGCATACATTCAGGATCTGTTTCCCTGACCAGGGGTTGAACCCAGGCCCTCTGCATTGGGAGGGGGAGCCTGGAGTCTTAGCTACTAGACCACCAGGGAAGTCCCAAGACCAATAATCTTCAAATGTCTTTAACTTTATACCTCAAGCAATCAAACTGTTTTTGAGCACACCTTGCTAATTTATGTTATCTACATTATAAAACCCACTAAAGTGCAAATTAAGAAAGATAAGATAACCACATAAAAAAATTCAATGTGTTTCCCAACGCCTGGTGCACTGTTGGGCACACACACCCCTTTCAGAGACCACCAGCCTGGACTCCTTAATATCGAGTGACATTGGCCAAGAGCTCTGAGGACAGGCTGCCCGGTCTGTTTTCCCAGGCACTCAGCACTGCAGGCTCTCATCAGGAATCCAGGCACGTTTCTGGGCTGAATGAATGAAAGGATGAATGGGGACTGGGTGGAGGGGTGGAGAGAGAGCTACGGGGAGGCTGGCTCCGAGCCTGGGTGGCTAGGCAGAGCCCTGGGTGTGTGTGGGTGATCCACTGACATTTTCACCGAGACCCAGACTCCTTGGAGGCCAGCTCCACACGTCACTCACCCAGTCAGTCCCGTCAGAGCTGGCGATGCGGTGTATCTGCAACACTGAGGCGTCATCTGGTATTTGAAAAATCTCAGGATCGTTGAAAATCAACACCGAACGTGATCATAGGCTATTTAGGAAGATGCCCAGAAAACTGGCATGCCCCCCCCCCACACCGCCTCAAATAGGCATGCCATAAATCTCACAGCTAGTTTGTGTTTAGAAGGAGAGTGGCATATTGGAGACTAGGAGGACCTAAAGGCATTTAAATAGAAATGTTTAGAACATCGAGGTGGTCTGATGAGCTCCCAGCCATTCAAGCCATGAAAACTGTTGGTGCTCCTGTTCTCTAGCCAGATTCTTATCAAGTAGATTTCCTTCTTGGGAGCTGGGGCTTGGGGAGTGTGTGTGTGTCTCACTGAGTATGGATAAAAGTACAGAAAACTGACCCCAGATCTCCCATCCCTACTGTGTGTGTGTGTGTGTGTGTGTGTGTGTGTGTATGTGTGTGTGCACACTAGCATGAAATAGGCATATAGATAAGTTTAGCTCACTGCCTGGCATACAGTAGGTTTCAATACATGGACCTTTGCCCTCTTTTCGTGTATTTGTCCTGGCGGCCACCTCCCTCTCCAAAACCCTTGGGTCATCCAGATTCTATCTCCTTCCCTGACCTGCTTGAAATCCTGGACATTCTGAGCAAGGGCTCCTTCCTCCAAATTCCTACAGCGCTTGCTGTCTGGACTACGAAATTTAGGACTTAATTACACCCAGCCTTGCATCGTCCTCGAATTCTTTCACTGTGTGTTGCCCCGTTCCCACCCCCCTTAGTTTGTAAGCACCCCAGGTTCGTAGAGGGCCGTGCACTGGAGCCAGCAAGGCTGGCTCGGTCCCCTCTCGGCCACATCCTGAAACGGATTATTTAACCTCTCAGCTTCAGTTTCTTCGATTGCGCCATGGAGATAATGACACCATCTCTCATTGCTGTTGCCGAGGATAATGTGTGTGAAAGCGCTAAGATGTAAAGCGCTGTGTGAATGTAAAGGCTGTTATTATCACCTCTGTTGGATCGACCCCTGCTTGGTGGAGCATAATAAATACCTGATTGATTGAATACGGAGTAGCTTTGCGACAGCTCCTGTCTTGGGCTCCAGAAACACCGCTTTGCGCCTGATCCTGCAATTACTCCCTTTGTTAAAAATGCTAAATCTGCATCCTCTAAATCCCCTGTACCCTCAGCCTTCGGCTGATAAAGCCAGGGAGAACGGAACTGCGCCCATCGAGGACCCCGCAGCTGCACCAGAGCGCCCTCAACAGGCAGCACATGGAACCGTGGAAGCTATTCCTTCTATCAAGGTGATGGTTGGGGGGACAGTCTTTCCAGGGACCCTCTCCCGCAGAAGACTCAGCTAGTCCAAAGGAACGCGAATGCTTTTTGTGAAAGGTATTGCAGCATCATCGGTAGAAGGGTGCAGACCTTTTTCCCTGCCACACTTTATAAATGAGAAAGGAGCGTGCCTGCAAAAGCCACCCACAGGCCGGCAGAGAGCAGCAATTTCCTTGGGAGGTTTTGAGAAGAAGCCAGGCAGTCACCCGTCCCCCACCCCCACCCCCACCCCCCAACCTTCTATGTTGAAAACTCCGGTTTCGGCTTGCTGGCAAATGCCATGCAAAGCTCATCTTTTGTTAGTCTGCCGAACAATGTTATTGGTTATAATTGGGGCAATTATGGGCTGCTCGAGGAAGCGAAACACAGATGTTGAAACCCAGGATCAGGGTATTCAAGTCCAAAGCTGCTTGCTTTAAATAGTCCGTTTCCCGAATCATCCTGACTTACTTGAAATTCCCCCAGAACTTGGCCATGTTCAGAATGAGATGCGGGAGGATAAAGATGGGTAGTGGTGGGAGGGGTAAGCCAGACCCGCAGGGAGAGAGACGCACAAAGAGAGAAAGAGGAAAAGGAGGCTGAGAGAGAGCCAGAGTTTGGATGACTTCTGAACGTCATTTTCGCAGGACCCCAGCAGAAACATTTAGGTGGCAGAGATGGATAGGAGGAAGAAAGATGCAAAAAAGAGAACAGACCTCCGAAAGAAAGAGGGTCCGGAGACCAAGGTCAACCCTGCGGAAATACACGGCGGAATTCACATACAGCGACCGCGATCAGCTGGGTATCGGTCAAGCCCAGGGCAGGCTCCGACTCTTCCCCGCATCACCGCTAGCGATTTGTATTCGGTGCTGAGGGGAGCAGGGTTCCCTCGGGATGAAAAAGCCAAATCCCAATCGAGTTCAGAGATACGTTGGAAAGCAGCCTGCACCCACTGTGAAAGGAAGTCAGTCACAGAGAGAAACCACTCCTAAAGTGTGCCTGGAGGGGTAGGTCGGGGGTGGGGGGCGCTTCCGGAGGGTTGCCTCGCAAGGCAAGCCCCCGCCCTACCCCCCAGTGCCTGCCGCTCCCCTAACCTCACTCCTACAACCACCTTTTCGCCGCAGACAACAGTGACAAAGTAAGGACCACACCTGGGGAATGGAAACTTTTCCTCCTTTCCAAGTTCAGCTCTTCTTCTGCATCTCTATCCAGAATAAAAGCCTTAGCCCTCCCCTCCACCGCTACCCACCCCCCACCCCCACCCCCATGAGAGCTCAGAAAAGATGAATGAAGGAATAACCTAAAGGGAGGCCAGCAGCATCTACACTGGACAAAGGAGAGGGGCTGGGGAGACAGCCCTGCCGCCCGCCCGCCCGCCACTTCCCCAGGCTCCCAGCCGCGTGTCTTGGGGCGGAGGGCTTCGCGCGCAGTCGCCTACCTGCGAGCTGTCAGTAACCGGGCTCCTCCGGCTGTGAGGCTCCGCTGTGTCAGCCACACGGGCATATATATCCTCCCCCCACACGCACAGCCCTCCCCTTCCCTGCCCACCTCGATGACACATGCACACGGCTGACCCCCTTAATCAAGCGAGCGGCAGAACCTCCAGTCCTTCCTGGCTGCTCCCCGCCGGCCGTGGCTCTGTGCTCGGACCTGTGACATCTTAGGCTCCCCATCAGGCCACCCCCCAACTGCTTTACCTGGACGCTGCTCAGCCAGGATCCCACAGCAGCCTCTGCTCTGCTTCCAGAGGCGCTGGGAGGACTGATGGGGAGCTCTGGCAAGTCAGGAAGGGGGAAAAAAAAAGCCTCCTGGTGAGAGTGACAAGGCAGACCCCAGTCCTGGAGTCTCCTTGAGCAACATTTTCTCCTGGAGAATGAAGACACGGGAGTGGGCAGAAGTGGGGGGAGCTCCCACTGACAAAGACAAGCCCAGAGCTGAGTTCAGATGCGTCCCCTCCTGCTGTCACGGCCCGCAGGCGGCCGCAACCAGGCCACTGGAGGGAATGGCCACACCTGCTATGGGCGGGGGCCAGGGGTGCTTCCCAGGTGCTCACCGTGGAAGGTGCTGCGATACGACACTCAGCAGCACGCGTCTGAGATTCTGCTTAGAGCGACTTCTCTCTGCGAACCTCAGGTCTCCTCCTCTGAAGGAGGAAGCTCAAACACCTCCCAGGATGGCTGTGAGGGTAGAAAAACGAGGTTCTGTTTGTATTCGGAATCTACTACACCTTAAATAAAGGTGCATTCTGCACACTCTTCATCTCTTCCCATGGAATCAGACCAGCTGAATCTGAAACTCCCTCTGCCAACAGCTGTCACCACAGAGTGCTTTGAAACCTGCTGCTGCACTCAAGGGTGTCGCCACCAAGCACCTGCCCTTCAGCATGCAGCTTCTTTCCCTTCGCTGTGTGAAAAGAGCTCCTGGTCAGCCCCCTGAGGCCTCCTCAGGCAAAGAGGAGGTCATGGTGTACTTCACCTGCCGCCAGGAAAGAAGACAGTGAAGGACAGGGGCGCCTGGTCTGCTGTGGCCCATGGGGTCGCAAAGAACTGGGCATGACTTACAGCCTGGATGACAATGGCAGCCTCGGCAGGGAATGTTTCGATTCCGCACACCCTTGTGCATCCCTGCTTTCCCAGCTGCAGGTGAATCACACCACGGCTTCCTCCCTGGCCGTCCCAAGAAGATCCACACATATTCCAGAACCCCTGGGTTCGAGCCTTGTGCCGCAAGGATCTTCAGCACTCTCTCGTGTAGCGAGTCTGGGACTTGCATCAACCTGAGACTGGATGCGGAAGCATTAAAGAAAGCATCTGCTCTGACTGCTAATGGGTACAGGGTTTCTTCTGGGGGTGATGGAACTGTTCTGGAATGAGACAGGGCTGATGTTGCACAACATAGTGAATATACTAAAACCTCCACTGAATTGTGTGCCTTAAAACAGTGAACTTTATGTTAGACGAATCATATTTCAATTTAAAAAAAAAAAAACAGCAAGTAAGAGAACAAGCAAGCAAGCAACATCTGCCCCAGGTTACAAGCAACAAGTTCTAAGAATAAAGCATCCATTCATCTGTATAGAAGGGCCCAGGAGACTGGCATAGGCACAGTTTTCACTTTGGTTTCTATTGCCCAAATCTTACACTTCGTTACGATAGGGCAAAGCCACCACTATGAGCCCTGAGAAATCAGCATGGCATGTGATCAGTTTTGCATCCTGATGTATGTTGGGGCCTGGGGCTTGATCTTACACACGCTGTGCCAGGTGTTGCGAGTGGCCTACCCAATATCCGTATCCCTGTTCTTCCTTACTACACAGTACCCCTGGTTTTATTCTAGGTGGCAAAGTGCTCAACTAAAAGCCTACTTTTCCCAGCTTTCCTTGTGGCCAAGGGTAGCCAATGGGAATCAATCTGCCAGTCATTGGGTGGGGCTTCCAGGGAAAACTCTTTTAAGGGGAACAATTCAACTAGAAGAGGCCTCTTCTCTACCCTACTGCCTGCCTGCCTGGCACACAAATGTGATGAGTGGATAAGTTCAAGCAAGTATATCCCAGCCAGGCAAGCACCAAGCAGAAGCATGTAGAATTCCTGGGGGTTCACCTAAGCCTGATGCTGGCACTCCGTTTGCTTTGCTGTATTTATTGGCTGTGAGTGTGTGCTCAGTCGCATCTAACCCTTTGTGACCCCATGGACAGTAGCCTGCCAGGCTCTTCTGTCCATGAACTTTTGCAGAATACTTGAGTGGGTTGCCATGTCTTCCTACAGGGGATCTTCCTGACCCAGGGATTGAACTTGTGTCTCTTTTGTCTCCTGCATTAGCAGATGGATTCTTTATTGCTGGGCCACTTGGGACTGTCATAAGGCCAGTCCAGAGCCAGGTTGGGTGGAGACCCCCAAGGTCAGAGGACAAAGGGGTGGCTATACAGAGGCCATTCACTGGAACAATTGCTAATTTTAATCACCACATTTTGTTTCAGCCACTTTCTTGGGTTTTCTGTTACCTGCAGTTGAAAAACATCTTCCATGGTCTTCTTACTTTTGAGCATCTTCCTATTCCCTGGGTGTTGTGTGGCCAAACACTCTTCTTCCTTTGAAGTGGAGAGAAAGAAAAAGCAAGAGTGAAAAGTCACTTAACTTCTCTGCATTTTTCTTTGCTTCTTTACCAAATGGAAGAATTGAACTGAATGAACTGGAAGTTCCCCTTGGGCTGAATGAAGCTGCATTTTGTGGGGAGCCATTTCCTGTACCACCTGGAGGGGAGGGCAGGAATGAGCCCAGAGGAGTTTATGCTCACAGTTGTGTCTGTGTATGTGGGGGAGTGTGGGAGTGTGTGTGTGTGAGAACCTTGCCTCTGGGAAGAACAGGAGTCAAGTATCAGGGATGCCAACCTTGTGGGCGCAACTTGGGTGCTCAGGGTCACTTAAAGGGTTTCTCCTCCGCAGTTGGTGGCTGAATCATGGCACCTTGAGGCCCATGGGCTTCCCTTGGAGGTGAGACTTGGTCTTGGAGCATCAAGCTGCCCTCTGCTCTTCTGAATGAAAACACCCACTTGCTCAAAGCATTGGAGCAGAAAGGTCATCTCTGCCCATACCAGCTCCCCATCCTCTTGAAATCAAGGGGCCCAAGCCAGGTGGCTACAAGCTTTAGAGCCATTCAGTTCTTTTTTTTTTTTTTTCAATTTTAATTTCATATTGGAGTATGTGCTAAATTGCTTCAGTTGTGTTCAACTCTTCATGACCCCATGGATTGTAGTTCACTAGATTCCTCTGTCTATAGGAATTTTTTTCCAGGCAAGAATACTGCAATCGGTTGCCACTTCTTCCTCCAGGGGATCTTCTTGCCCCAGGGGTTGAACCCTACTCTCCTGCGTTGGTGGGTGGACCCTTGACTACAGCACCCGCTGGGAAGCCCATATTGGAGTACAGTTGATTAAGAATGTTATGTCAGTTTCTGGTGTAAAGCAGTGATTCACATATGCTGTTGCTGCTAAGTCACTTCAGTCGTGTCCGACTCTGTGCGACCCCATAGACGGCAGCCCACCAGGCTCCTCTGTCCACAGAATTCTCCAGGCAAGAATACTGGAGTGGGTTGCCATTTCCTTCTCCATACATATACATATATGTGTTCTTCTTTTTTCTTTTTGACGGTTGAGTATGGTTTATTAAGTTGTGCCTTAGTATAGACACTGGGGCTTGCCCATGGTGCTCTTCATGTATAAGGCCCTAACGGTCTGCCAATTTTTCTTGAGCAATGACAACAGGAAGTTGACAGCTAAGTGGATTTTGTACACAAGCTCATCATCTGTTATCTTCATGTGGCCAACAGCCACTGCCAGACACAGCACCTTCTTCATCTGGAACTTGATCGTGGACTTCATCAACTTTGGCCACCATGTTCTCATTGTGGGTCGGCAAGGAAGGGAATTTGCCCGCCTTGTTCAGGCCTGGGTCCAGGATTCGTGGGATCTGCTTGATCAGAGACTGAAGCCGAAAAAGCATCATATTTCTTGGCCAGCCTCTTGACCAGTTTCTTCTTCCTGTTGAGTTTCTTCAGTGCCTCAATGTCCATGTGGGGGATATCCACAGCCTTGGCCTCATCACGATGCTGCTGGTCCCCCAAGACACACACGGAGAACTTGGGGCAGGGAGTGGCTAAGCCTGACGGTGCCCGAGAAGCGTTTGTCCTTCTGAGGGTCATAGTTCTGCAGGCTGATCGGAAGCTCCACCGTCTCCAAAGACTTCTGGTGCTTGCACTGGTTCCCGTGCAGGACTTCCTGCACCGCCTCCTAGAGGGTGTCGGGGGAGACTTTGCTGCTTATGGTTCCCCACTTCGCAATAACTGGAAAAGAGCTCTATTCTTCATTCAGTTCTAACAGATAAGTCTGGAGCTAGATTTAGAAGCTCTTAAAACAATCACTGGCAAATCTCAGTCGAGGGGACTGCAGGAGGAAGCGGGCAGGCAGGACTGGGCTCCCACCATGAACTCCTCCACCCTCCACCTACCCAGGACTTGTCTCGCTCAAAGGAAAGAGCCTCTCATCGCCAGGGATTTAGCTGCTGGGAATTTAGTGATTAATTACGGCGCCTACCGCCGATTGGTCTCCTTAGTAACCACGCTAGCAGGGTCCCAGGCAGAGAAGCTGTTTCCTATTTTCAAAGAGGGCAAACCCTCTCTACATTGTCAAACACCTTCAATCAAAACACAAATGGATTTTGAAAATCAAGAGAATCTCCTCTCTCTCTCCAGCCTCTTTTCCCCAGCAGTGGGATTTGAGGGTTTTGCAGGGAAAGCTGAGTGGTAGTGATTGTTTTAAATGAAGAGTTAGGGGACTTCCCTGGTGGTTCAGTGGCTAAGGCACTGTGCTTCCAATGCAGGGGAGCCCCGGTTCGATTCCTGGTTGGGGAACTAGATCCCACCTGCCATAAGGAAGATCAGAGTTCCTGCAACTAAGACCTGGCACAATCAAATAAATGTTTAAAAAAAATAAATGAAGAGATAGGCAAATCCAGTTTCAAGGCAAAATAGCCCACTGTTGTGGTCTTACGATCCAGAGCATCTGGCCAAGTGCTGCGACTGGAGAGTGAAAGGGAGGTGAGCTCAGGTGTCCCGCCCTCGAGAAGCTTG